ACTAACAATATAATGCAGAGGTTCGCCTAACACACCTACAGACCCAAAGGTCCAAGTCAGCCTGTGGGAATGTTCACGCTAGGGAGCGATATTCTGCACTGCAGAGGGGAAAAAGCTAGGGATGCTCCGAGAGGTCTGGATTTCTGACTTTAAATTCTCATGCAATCACCCTGGTTTTCAAATGGAACCATCTGGGTGGTTCCCAAGTACGCCAGGGTAATATTCAGGAACAAAGAACCGCTATTCTCTGGCCAGCTATTTTGTTTTCATTCTTGTTTGAAAGTTTTAAAAATCTGAACACTTTCCAACGAATACTCAACATGTAAGAAAATGTAGTAATTTATGGTCTAAAACAAGGAATTGGGTGGACATTATGCCTATTGGTTAAGAAGTCCACGTCCCACACTGGAGCCCCTAGCTCCCATTCAGGCTCGGCTCGCCATCCCAGCTTCCTGTTCCCGTGCACCCTGCGAGGCAGCAGGTGCCGGCTCACAGCCTTGGGTTCAGCTCGCATCCTTGCTGCCCTTCAGGGAGACCCAGAGCTCCTGGCTGCCAGCTTTGACCCTTGTAGGCACGATGGGATGGGAGGGTTTCCATCTCACAGGTAATTATATTAAAACAAAAACACTAAGGGAAAGTGTTTGCCCCTGGAAAACCACACACACAGAGCATGTGCATATGACAGGAATTTTTAGACAGGAATATCATATTTAGGGAAAAAAGTTAATCTAGATTAAAAGTAAAATAAAACCAGTTATTATTTCTGAGAAAATATATTCATGGAAGACATTTTTCTTTAAAGGAAGCAAAGGAAGGAGAAGGAAAACTCTTATTAAAGTTAGCTGTATTAGGTACAGTTCTAGAAAGCACTGCTCTATTAATTAAGCACTCATGAAATATGTACCTAAGTTTAGAATGGAAATATATACACAGTGTAACCGAACCTGGCTTACTGAGAATAAAATGTTCAAGTGTCAGGAAACACTAATTTTCCAATAGAAAAGTACAAAATTCTTGGGCCTTCTGTTAGGATTTAACTGACGTTCATGTCTCATATACTTTTCAGCTTTCACCTAATATTTCAATGTGAAAACATTCCTGGTTTGAACTAATTATGTATCCCCAGGCTCACAGGGAACCATGGTACGTTCTCTGAGCTAATAAAGGGTGAAATGACTTCACACTAAATAGGAACCATACTACATTGAACCTGCAGATCATTTTTTGGAAAGCATGGCCTATCCTATCCCTTTCTGCATCAAAATTTTAGTTAATTTAGCTATTTTCTCTTTCCCTAAATTCCTGGCGAGAGAAGACAAGGACATACCACCTCCAACACAATTTATCCCCCATAAAGTGGTCCACTGGAAATATCACCACATGGGAGGGCTGTTTCTCATAGGTCCTGAAGTCAGAGTCTTAACAAACTTAACACTATAATTAACAAGATTCTAGACACTCAACTGCCATGACTACTGACAGTGCCTCCCAGAACCCGGCCAGGATGAACAATTTTACAGGCAGCTGAGTCCAAAGCTCAACTGAGAGCAGCTAGCATTGACCTTCAGACTAGGTGGGGCAGGTTCCTTCTCCTGCTGCATCATTCTGCAGGGGAAGACGAGCGCCCACATTTGACACTATCAGTATATCAAGATTCTGTCCAGAGCACATTAGGTTCAGGACAGATGGTTCCAGCAGCTGTTTGCTCATGGAGCTTGGCTCATCTAATTCCCATTCTCAGAAGCAGCATGACAATAACACGCTTTCACAGAAACATGTTTGTATCTACTGTAACCCACCCTTCACAATCACACTCACTCCACACCACTGCTGCCAAATTCTCTCTCTCTCTCTCTCTCTCTCTCTCACACACACACACACACACACATACACACACACACATGCGCGCGCGCCAGTCCAGCTCAGTAACTGAGTTGAACAACTTTCTGTTTCCTGGTAGGAGTAAGTTGTAATGGTTGAAGGATTCTTAGATATTCACAAACTAAAATAGGAACTGCTTGAACTTGTTTGTTGGGATCCAAACTTTGAAATCCTGATAGAAAATTCCACAGTCAGTGCAAGTGTGCACTGTGTGTGTCAGTGTGAGTATACATGTGTGTGTTTCAAGGACACCAAAGTAAGGGAAATGATTAGACACAGATAATACTGATATCTTCAAGATTCGGTCTATGAATCTACTCACGTCTCTGGGAAGTCCAGTGACCATGGCCTTGCATGGGAGGTTCTCAGCATTTGGCATCGTTATCTAATGCTTACAAATGACAGAACAGTCATGCCAAAAGAAATCATATAGGCCATTTCAAAGCATTTTAACCTTTCCAGCACTTAGTGCAGATGAAGTTTTCTTGCTTAGAAAACCAATGCACTTTCACTGCCAGCTTACAAAAGTTACATAGCCAAGGGGACTGGTGTAATGGTATATATAATGGTATAATCCTTAGCCTGCAGTACTGGTGTCCCACATGGGTACTGCTTCTAACCCGGGCTGCCCACCACATCCCCCCTTTTAAAAATTTATTTATTTTTATTGGAAAGGCAGATTTACCGTTGGTTCACTCCCCAAGTGCCGCAATGGCTGGAACTGAGGCAATCCAAAGCCAGGAGTCAGGAGATTCTTCCAGATCTCCCATGCGGATGCAGGGTACCAAGGCTTTGGGCCATCCTCTACTGCTATCCCAGGCCACAAGCAGGGAGTTGGATGAGAAGTGGAACAGCCGGGACACAAACCGATACCCATATAGGATCCAGTGCATGCTAGGTGAGGATTTAGCCACTAGACCATCATACTTGCCTCCATTTCTGATGCAGCTCCCTGCTTACAGTCTGGAGAAGCAGCAGAGGATGATCCAAGGCCTTAGGCCTCTAGACCCACGTGGGAGACCTGGAAGTTCTTGGCTCCCACCTTCCAATAGGTTCAATTCTGGCCATCGAAGCCATTTGGAGAATGGAACAGAAGAGCTCTCTGTCTCTAACCCTCTCTTGCTAACTCTTTTAAGTAAAACTAAATAAATTAAGAGAGGGAGAGAGCTACGCAACCCTCCAGGTTGCTTGACACTGAGCCTCTCCCCTTTAAGAAGAGAAACAGGGTGAGAGCAGGTCAGTGACCCATCGGGGCATGTACTTGAGTTGACTGCTTTGATTCACCAATTCGAAGCTTCTCAGATGGTGAGAAGACCTTGTTTTGTTCTGTTGATGAGCAGAGCATGGAAACGAACAGCCTAGTAGTGATGAATACCACATGAATGAATGTAGGTCTCACATTTGCTGTGTCCCACAGGCAGATCTGAACCTCAGGCTCAGCTTCCGAACCTAGACACTGGTTAGGGGCAAGTGCAGAAAGGAGAGGGAGGGGTCAGGCTTTGAGAGCTGCTGCTGGGATACACAATATTGCCTTCCCACAAGTTATTTCTCAACACTTAGCTGTTACAAGAACACAGTGAGGTCAACACTGCAGAGCGGTGGTGACAGGCGCAGGTGAGCTGGCCTCTTTCTTGAGAACAATGACAAGGGCAAGTGCTCCTCCGCTCACACGAAGTAGCTCATTCTCAGCAGCCCAACACTGCCATGTGTAAACTTGATAGTCGGTGGCATAAGCAAAGAGTAAAACCCACAACTAGTCTGGGCCCGGCCCTGTTGCCTAACAGCTAAAGTCCTTGCCTTGAATGCTCCGGGATACCATATGGGCACCGGTTCAAATCCCAGTGGCCCCACTTCCCTTCCAGCTCCCTGCTTGTGGCCTGGGAAAGCAGTCGAGGACAGCCCAAACCCTTGGGACCATTCACCCATGTGGGAGACCTGGAAGAAGCTCCTGGTTCCTGGCTTTGGATCGATGCAGCTGTGCCTGTTGCAGCCACTCGGGGAGTGAATCATTGGATGAAAGATTTCCCTCTCTGTCTCTCTGTATGTACGACTTTGCAAATTAAGAACAAAACCACAACCAGTCACTACCATGGCATCTGTAATACAATGTCATGAAAAAGTCTGTATGTGCATGGAATGTAACAGACATTAATTTTCAACAGTATAGAACTGGTTAACAAATTAGAATTCTAAGCTCAGAATATCTACTTTAGTGTTTTTAATTAGGTTGACCTTACTAAATAATAGTTAAAGATACAAAATTGGAACAAACAAAATCAGAGTAAATATGCCATGATGTTAATCATAGTTATTTTCAGATTGTGAGATTATGGGTAGATGTTACATTTTTCTATAATGCCCAGGTTTCCTTCAGTTCCCATGCTTTTGTAAGATTATAATTTTTTAACAACTTTAGCTCCCCGAGTCCCCAAATTCAGTGGACTAAGTCTCAAGTCCAAGCCCAGAGGATATGAAAAGAGGCATTCTTTTTTAAATTGTCTTTATGGGGGTTGTGGAACACATTAGTGTCAGCAGCAGCCATGCTGCGACACACAGGAATCCACGCCTCCAACTTTTGGAGGTGGGAGGGCTGTGGTCGTGGCTGCAGGAGGCCGGTGCATCGCCTGTAGAATACCTTCCATTGTAAAGAATCACTGACTGTCACAATGCTTTTACACATAATTCACTGGCGTGTCCTGAACTCAGTTTGGTGTGGTGTGGGTGACAGGTGAGGGAAGGTGGGAGGGCTACTCTAAAACATGGAAGCTATCACTGAATCAATCCTTCCTGTGCCCACCCACTGATGCGAACCCTGCTGACACCTCTCAGGAGATGAAATGGCAGATGTACAAGCAACACTTCGGTGACTGCTGCTCTCAACTCCTGAGATACACAAGGCTCTCCTCTTCAAACCACAAAGAAGCAAAGTGGACACAGAAGAAAGAGGCTGCACTGCGGGTTCAAGAAGACTTAGCTGTGTTAGCATCAGTCATGTTTCCACATCAGCAGCTACCAGGCACACGCTGTGTAACCTGCAGCTATCCTGGCTGGTAGGAAGGAGAACAAACTCCCGCTGCTTATGCAGAAAAGCTAAAGGACTCTGGGAGGCACAGACTCACCGGAAACCACCTAGTAGATACGCCCGGTTCCTCACGCAGTGCAGAACACGATGATACAGGAAAATTCAGGAAGCTTGACTGAGATTTCTCTGCTCAGTTTCGGGGTGCCCTTTGAAGCAAATCCTAAAATGTCAAAATAAATAAATAAAGCTATATGTGCTTGTGATTTGACAACTACATTAGCACAACTTCTATCTAAGCAAGAAATGCAATTCTTCACCCTAGTTTTTAAACAAACAGAATACTAATTAAAAAATAGCCAGTTTTTACTATTTTTTTTCCATCTCCCACTCTTACAGTAGCTATGACTTTGAGATTCACGCAATTCTTGGAAGGACACATAGATGTAGAACATATTGTACATTCGGATTCACAGAAAGGGGCAGCAAAGTGCAGCCAGGGGCCACTGCCTCACCCGGGTGTTGATGCCATGTATTATTATCAGTTCATCATACTCCTTGTGTGGGTCCAGAGGAGTCCCCAAACCACTGCATGGAGACCTCCCCCTCAATTAGCCGTGGATAAGATAACTCACTTATCTGTGAGTTTCAGACATTTAAAAATGCCATCTACTTTTGCCTTTTCCCTTCCTTTGTTAGTTTCTTTTTCCTACCAAAAGTTTGTAGGGGCTGATGCCCGTGGCTCAGTCACTCACACCGGGCCCCAGGGACACCACAGCACTATAGGATGTTTGACATTCCCTACAGCAGTTTAGAACTTACAGGCTAAATGAGATCATCAGTTAGAGTTCAACAATATTCTGCCACATCTATCCTTAAACTGGAATAACTAGCCATTAACCACACTTGATCCAAGTCTAGATTTCATCCTGCTTATATCAATGAGCTCCTTACTAAACTATTCATTCTTCAATGCATACAACCCTTACCCAACTTTGCGGAAAGGTAAGTTCCCAATTGCTGCATTATAGGTAATAGCTCATGATCAATACCGGTGTTTGACCAAAATGATGTGAATGAATAAGTACAAAGAGGTGTCTTGAAATAAGCTACACATGGTAGAAACAACAGAACAGAATGTGGGCTCCTGGGGCTGGCACTGGGGCACAGTGAGCTAAGCTGCTATGCACAGCAGCAGCATTCCACATCAGAGCACAGGTTTGAGTCCCCCTGCTAACATGCCTGGGAAGGATGCCAGCTTTGACCTAATCAGCCTAGACTGCTGCCACCATTCTGGCTATGAATCATTGGATGGAAGATTCTCTCTCTCTTCCCCCTTTTCTTCCACTTTCCCATCACTCTGCATTTTAAATAAATGGTTTTAAAAAATGTAGATTCCTGCACCCACCCCTAGTGTACTGGCTAACTCAATCCAGACAAGTAAACTGAGCTTTTCTGAAGCCTAGGTTTCCATATTCACAGTGTGGAGGTAATTCCTGGCAAGAATGTGGCAGAGGACAAATTCTTCAGAAAATCCCACCCCTGGCACTTGCTTACAAAACACACTGAGTTTTCTCTTTGTAGCAGAAACATTTCTCCATTCCCAGACAGCATCAGAATTGAGAACAAACTGTTAATAAACAAACATGGAATCATTGTGGTTTTGTGCTCTATCACAACAGGGTTAAAAACCCAGGCCACTGATGTGCCTGACCATTCACACAACAGAAGTTCTCTCCAAATAGAACATGGAGGCTCATCTCTTTCCTTCCAGAAAAACAGGACTTTCTAGAATGATCCCAAGCAAAATCCACTCTATGAAAATGTAAGAGTTGTACTGTTCTGTCACGAAAACTTTCAAGCAAAACCCACATATCCTGATAAGCTGGTTTATGGAGCCTGGGTCTAGTTCAAACCCTTGACTTCCCTATGAAGGGAAAACCGGCCCACTGCTGGTCACATGACAGACAGGAAACGAGTTGCCAGGCAGCACCTGCACAGAGCAGAGCGGCTTCTAGACAACACAAGGATTCATCAATTGCTCCATGAACTGCCCTGGATTGTGAAACTGCTGTGGGCATAGCTTGCTCTATCATGGAGTCTTGAGACCAAATGGAGACGTTTTCACAGAGCTCAGCAGAAGGAAAAGCAACAGCGGAGCAAGCTCGTTTGTTTTTATTTTTGGGACATGTGACTCTTACATGTTTGTAAACAAATGGCAGGATCCAAAGACAAACACTGGTTGACCATAGGTGACATCATCTCTATTATCCTAGACGGATTGTCTTTGTCTTCTCTTCTCTATTTTGTCATACCATACATAGTTGGAAAGGAGATTTCAAATTCAGGTATGTAATGAGGCAAGACATGCATAAATACTAGTAGTGATAAATTTAGGCTAAAAATAACTTCATTCCTTACTCTCCATTAAGAAATGAGAATTCCATTTCCTAAAAACAAATCTTTTAATCAACTGCTCACATTCAAGGATGCTAAAACATGGGACTAAAGCTACCAGGAGACCACGGGGTGAGAGTCAAACGCCGAATTCTACTGCTGTCTCTACCATCCATAGCCTCTGACCATGGGGACTCCACATGCAAGCCCAGCTGATGCAATTCCCCACAGGAGCAACATGACAAGGAGGGGGAGCACGTCTGAAAGCACCTTGCTGCCTGCCAATCAGAGAGCTTCAGCGACGGCTATGAGTTCTCACCGATGACAAAACCATCTTTCAAAGTGAACAATCTATCTTAACCAAACCTCTGCATTGGCAATTTCACAGACATTAATTAACCTTACAGCAACTGTTGTAAGAATGGTCACTTAGCCAATTTATAAACTCTAGCAGGGTAGACTCATCCCAGTACCTCACTGCCCCATTCGAATTCTTGCTGTAGGCTGCTTACCTTTTAATTAATGTGAGCTATTGTTCATAGCTTTTTCATCCTAAGTACAGTCTTTAGCCTGTCATTAGTAGTTACATTCATGTTTTTGTCCATGAGCTCTGATGTTTTTCACTGTGTGGCAGAACAGAAGGAACACTCAAAGGGATTTCCTTGTACAGCTTATACCATGTGACCAGCTAAGGGAAAAGGGGTAGCATCTCTAAGAGTGCTAGACTTGAAAATGGGGAATTCAGAAATTTGAAAACACATATTCCCATGACTTAGAAAAGGAATCCGCTATGAATTATTCACAGACCACCTGATTCGATTATACCACATTTATGAATCTGAAGAAGTGAACAAAGATCAAGTTGCAATTGAATGTAGGTTGGGCCAATTCACAAGCTAAATGGTATAGCAATAGTAACAGCAACATTAGCTAGTGTTGTCAGGATGGTCATGACATGCCAGGCCCTGTGCTAAGCATTCCAGTGATCCTCTGGTTTAACTGTTGCCACCTTAGGAAGCAACTTCTAACATTCTTCTCACTGTAGGAGTAAGAGGCAAGAGTGAGGCTGCCTATCTGATGTGATCCTTCAGCTACTGCCAAGGAAGCTGGGATTCAAACCCAGAAGGATTTCAGAACAGAAAGCTGTGCTCTTTGTCACTCTGCTGTATGGAAGAACAGACTTGCTCTATACCTCCATTTGAAAATTTAAATTTGTGCTTAAAGAAAAACTACAGATAATCGCATACCACCCTAACAGCTTAAGAGTCATCAAGAAAAGCCAAAACTGAATGGAAATCCATAGACTGTCAAGGCCCATCTAAGAATCTTTTCAGGAACCCCAACATTCATCTCTAAATTGTAAAACATATTTTCAGCTTGCTTAGAAACAAAGTCAGGAGCTCAATTTTTGGAATGAAGGGTAGAGAATGTCAGATATACACAAATATGGTTACCTCAAAAACACTTGTGGCATTCTGTTTCTGAGATTCGTAAAAAGCTGTTCCATTTTGGAAATTTTTTGAGAAATTAAAGACCCTACATGAGTCAACCAAGCTGGTGATTTGGCAACTTCACTTTCTAAACTGCGTAGCCGGTCTAATCGGAGTTCTATCTTGCTAATGTTTACCAAAACTACCTTTACATCCACAGTAGCAAAGAAAATGAAAATGGCATCATTCATGCTGTGGGCATGAGAATTTAAAAATAAACAAAAATTATTGAAACCTTACATGTCCACAGACTGTATCTAGGGGATTATCATATCCCATAACCTCCGTCTTTGTGCACTGACATTTGACCCTTTGTATAATATGCACTCTGTACCAGGGAAACCTAAGGCACCAGCTAGTTACTCATTACATTCGGGTGCCAAGGGTTGACTTGTACAAATTACACTGCTAACAGCCCAGCCTGGGCTGTGTGCTGAAGTGGTAAAAGGCAATCATCCTAGCTGTGAAATTCTGTCATCTCGGCAGAATTGAACTACAAATTGCAGCCATTTGGGCCTGACCTCTGCTCCCTGACGTTAGCCTCGACCTTTGAACCTCAGCGTGGGATTGAGAACCGGCTAGCCACTCTACTGCAGAAGACAGTTAACATGGAGACTGCTAGTCTGCCTACACCCACCTCCCGTAAGGTGTCAGCCGGGGCAAGACACCCGAAGGATGGAGAGCTTCAAGAGACTGACCCCACAATGCTGGTCCAGAAATAGAAGATATTGAAGACACAAATTTGTGAAGTGTTTTCACTTTGAAATCAGAAAAGGACACTAACAACTTATGGCCATCCAATACTTACTGGTATGCTCTATATGCTTGTATTTTCAAAGACAGAATAAAATATTTGAAACAAATTTTCTTTTTTGCCAAGCAATATTCTCATCTGGTGAATGTTTAAATAAATGTACGATTGAACTTGTTATAAAATATAAACATGTAATTAAGCCACTTTTGGAAAAAGCAATCATGAAAATCAAATTATACTTTCAGCTCAAACTACCCTTGGAAGAGTCAGTTTAGGCGAGGAATGAAGCATACAACACCCTATGTTTCTCAGGTTCATGCTTTGTCTCCCATGAAGTCACCTCATAGAAGAGGAGTCTGTTAAAGGGACCAGAGCATCTCTTGAGGATTAGCCTTCACCTCACGTGCCAGTCACACCACTCCATTTCCAGGTTAGAAGATGTGGACAAAGATCTCACTTCTCTAACCACTTAATGCCACAACAAGTCTCAAATTACATGTAAAATACAACTAAGCCGTTAGTTATAATGGAAACGGAACCAATTTTGTAAAGAACCCACACTTAAATAGTTTCATTTCATAA